GCCCTCCAGCCAGGACAGCCCCCCATACTCCCCCCCTCCATCCACACAGCCCTCTCCTCCCCACCCCGTCCAGAGGCTGCTGCCCACCCCAGCGTCGGATCCCCCGGCCCTGGCTGGCTGGGCTGGGCCGCCCGGGCTCGCACCTTGGCCAGCTTGGAGAAGGTCTCGTAGATGAAGATGAGGGAGATGAGGAAGGCGAAGATCTCCTGGGTGAAGCGGGACACGAAGCGCACCAGGATGCTGCCCTCCACGGCCACCATCACCAGCACGATGAGGATGAGCCAGAAGCCGATCCACACGCGCCCCACCAGGTACTCCAGCCCGTTGGTCGTGCAGAACTGCCGGGGCACGACACAGTGAGGGGGGCTGGTCCGTGCTCCTGGCCAGGGGCTCCCCTCTGCCCCCCCCCAGGGTCTCTGGGGCCGGTTCTGGGGTGGGGGGGCAGGATGGGGGTGGGGATGGAGGGGCAGGGCAGGTGGGGGGAGGGGCAGGCAGCACGGGGCGGGGGGCGCAGGGTCTCTGGGGCTGGCAGGGAACTTCGAGCGTGGGTCGTTCCATGACCTCTGCCCCGGGGTCACGGCACAGGGACATCAGGAACAGTGTGACCCCCGACTCCGGCCCTGTGCCCAGCCGCGGCCCTGCACAGAGGGGTTCTCCAAGGCACCCCTACGATCTCTTGAGGTCCTCTTCCAACCCTGATATTCTATGATTCTATGATTCTATGATCTGGGGCTCTCCGGAGGCTGCCGGGGCACTGGGGGTGCTGTGGGGCTTGGGGGGTTTGTGAAAGTCTCACAGGGCTATTGGGGACGGTGAGTGAGGTGGGAGCCTTGGGGGGGGGAAGGGTGTCAGTTTGGGGAGAGGCGGGGGACTCTGGGGGCTCCAAGACGATCGGGGCTCCAGCGAACTAGCAGGGCGCTCTAGGGGACAAACAGGGTTTCTGGGGGACTATCAGGAGGTTCTGGGGGGGCCCTTGGGGGCTGTTGGGGGTTCCAGGGACTCTGGGGGGGCTAATGGGGATTCTGGGGAATTCCAGGGAGTAACAGGGGGCTCCAGGGGCTATCAGGGGGCGCTGAGGGGCTCTCGGGAGTTCTTGGGGGTAACGAGGGGCTCCAGGGGCTATCAGGGGCCTCCGAGGGGGTCTCGGGGGCTTTGGGGGTAACGGGGGGCTCTGAGGGGCTATCTGGGGGTTCTGGGGGCTCCAGGTCAGGGGCCTTCGAGGGGCTCTCGGGGGCTTTGAAGGGGCTCTGAGGGGCTATTGGGAGTTCTGGGGGTTCTGGGGGGCTCTAGGGGCTATCAGGGGGCACTGAGGGTTTCTCAGGGGTTCTGGGGGGTAACGAGGGGCTATCAGGGGGCTTTGAGGGGCTCTTGGGGGCTTTGGGGGTAACAGGGAGCTCCGGGGGCCATCAGGGAGTATCAGGAGGCTCTGGGGGGCTATCAGGGGGCTCTGAGGGGCTATCTGCAGGCTATTGGGGGGTAACAGGGGATCTGAGGGACTATTTGGAGGTTCGGGGGGCTCCAAGGGGCTATGGGGGGCTCCAAGGGGCTATGGGGGTTCTGGGGGGTAATGGGGGGCTCAGGGAGCTCCGAGGGGCTATCGGGGGGGTCTGAGAGACTATCTGGGGGTTCGGGGGCTCCAAGGGGCTATCGTGGGTTCTGGGGGGTAATGGGGGATCTGAGGGACTATTTGGAGGTTGGGGGGGGGCTATCAGGGGGCTCTGAGGGCCTATGGGGGTTCTGGGGGGTAATGGGGGCTCTGGGGCCCTCCCAGGAGTCCTGAACTCACTGTGAAAAAAGCTTCTTCGAAGACGAGCAGGGGCCCGGAGAAGCCGATGATGAGCAGTGGCTGGGCGCCCAGCAGGCAGAAGACGATGCCCTGCACGGCCGTGGAGATGATCAGCTCCGACACCCCGATCAGGTCCTGGGTCTTCTCCCCTGCGGGGGGCGAGGGTTCAGCACTGGAGACCGACCCCTCCCCCGCCCCTCCCCACTGACCCCCAGCAACGGTCCCTCACTCCCCTCCCCCGACTCCTCCCCACTGCCCCCTGCCCCCTCCCCGACTGGCCCCCCCTCCCCACTGACCCCCAGCAACGGTCCCTCACTCCCCTCCCCATCCACCCACCCTGCTGGTGGCATCGGGCCCCGGACTCCTTCCCAGCTCCATGGGATCCCCAAGTCCCTCCCCGGCCAGCCCCTGCCCCCAGGGGTTCCCAGCATAGACAGGCAGGGGCACGACACCCCCCCCCCGGTGGTCCTTACCCAGCCCCCCCCCCCCGCGGCCCTTACCCAGCAGCCCCCCGAAGGTGATGGCCGGCGAGAGCGCAGCGAAGTAGATGAAGATGATGGCGGCGATGCACTGGGGGTTCAGGCTGTCCCTGAAGTCGCTCAGGTATTTGGGGTAGCGCCGGCGCACGTCACGGACGAGCCCCCCGAAGGGCCGGCCCGTGCGCCGCAGGGGGTCATCCTCGTCCTCGTCCTCATCCTCCCCCTTCACCACCTTCAGCTTCAGCAGCGCTGCTCCCACAGAGAGCCAGTCAGGCGCCCGCCCG